TGATATTTCCTCTCTCCACATCTGACTTGTCTCAGCTCCATTAAAAGGAAGGAAAGTGAAACCAAGATATTCCTAAAGATTAGAACCCATGAGTTCTAATCTCTTCTCCCCTACAGACTCACCTATTGTAGGGCAGGTGTTCTGGGCTATCTATTGCTGTTACACGCTGCCCCCAAAACGTCAGGCAATAATTGATTATGGTCTTTCATAATTCTGGGGCTTAACTTGGGCTTGACTGATTCTTGCTTGGGGTTTCTCATGTGGGCACAAGAAAAGCATGGCAGGGGCTGGACCCATTTGAAATCTTGGCTGGGTACACCAGCCACATGGCTTCTCCATTCATAGTGTCTGGGACCCCAGGAATCCTGCATGTGGCCTGAACAGAGTACCATGAACTTCTTCGGTGGCAGATCAGGGCCCTGGGAGACAGGAAGCAGAGCTGCCAGGCCAGGTAAGGGCTATACCTGGAACTGGCACAGCATCCATATCTGTGACTAGAGGAGTCACAGGGCCCATCTAGATCTCTGGACTGGCAGTAGCAAGGTCACATTGCAAGGGGCAGGTGGGATGCATCCTTTATCACCGCCTGGCTGGGAAAATTCAATCTGCCACAGTAAAGCAGGAGAAGCCACAGGAAGCCTTTGGCTATCCGGGATCAGGAGCCTTTCTACACTGAGTTGGGAAAACCCTGTGTGCATATCACTGTCTCCAGAAGCCACTCCAGGAAGGAAGAAGGGAGTAGTGGAGATGACACTGTAGGGCATGGTGGTGTTATTTTAAGTCAGCCTGAGCTGGATTCAAATTCTAGCTTGCTCCTTGAGAATTGGGTGGCTCTGAGGTGACACATCACTTCTCAGGGACTCTGTTTCCTCCTTGTTTATCTAAAGGAAGCTGAGGAGGCAATAGCTACCTGCAAAATCACAGGGCTGTGTGGATGGGGGCTCTTCTCCTCTGTCACCCAGGGTCAGGAGTGAGACAGGTGAGGTGCCCGGAGAGAGGGAGGATGGTATATGTATAGGAACTCCCTCTCCCCCTCGCTCCTCCCCCTCTCCTTCTCTCTTCCTTTCTCTCCCTCCCTCCTTGGCTCTGGTTGTATAAGGACATAACCTTCCCAGAAGTCCCCCAGCAACACCCATCATGACTCTCTAATGAGCCTAAGTTTCTTGCTTCTCCCCAGTCCAAGCACTAATAAGGGGTGTGGACTCACCACGGTGGCTGAAATGCTGTTCCAATAGTGGGTCACCAGCAGGGATCAGAAGCCACATTTTGCAACTGATTTTCTGGGTAAAAAATGAAATAAGGCAGAAAACACAGCCTGCATGGCTCATAGAAAGCACAAGCATAATGTCAAACTTGTTTCAGCTCTTCATGGTGTGTGGACGTGTGTGCACGGTGTATATGTGTGCATGTGTGTCTGTGCACATGTGTGTACTGGGACATGATATAAATGTATTTTGTGGGTACTGGGCAACAAGACTGAAAACTTGCAACTTAATTGTTGGGGATGGAGTGGATGATAAACAGTTGACCACTCCAGCCACCATGTTTAAATGTTCCTTTCTTGGGGATGTGTTCCTGGAATTCCAGACTGGTCATGGTTCTCCATTGCACATAGTAATGACTCTTAGGATAAGTCTAACTATCTACTTATTTGCTGCCTTCCTCTCAAGTCAAAGGCTTCCTTCCTCCCTAAGTGCTGGGAGGCCAGGGACCAAGTCACCTGTGGCCACAGGGGCCTCCAAGCTGACATGCCTTCAAGAGCACACTACTTGATGGAAGGTTTGGAGCCAGGCAAATTTGGTTCCAATGCTGACTTTACCACTTCTCATCCCTATGGCACCAAGTAGATCTTTCACCTTTTCCAACCTCCGTTTTCTCATCTGTAAGATGAGCACAATCATACCCACTCCCCGACTCAGAGTCCTTAATGCAGTAAAAAAAAAAAAAAATAGGTGCCCATGTGCTAAGTTATTCAATGGGTTTCCTTCCTGTTTTGATGGGTTTGGGGATAGAGAATTTATTCCTTTTTAAGGCTGCAATCCTAGCAGTTCTAGAAGCTGGGTCTCCTTTGTAAAAAGCTTGCAAAGAAGAGAATAAAGCCAGACAGAGATGACAAAGGGAATTCTGACACAACAGTGCTTGAGTTCTTGGATCCAGTCTTTCTCAGGGGCAGTACTACCCCTACCGCACCCCCACTCCCCCACTCCTGCCCCAGTTACACAAGTGCATTTGTTTTATGTAATCTGAGTTGTGTTTCTGTCACTTACAACCAAAGAATCCTAAGTAATAAACCTAACTCACAGAATCGTTGTGAGAATTAAATAAGATAATGCACACACAGCAGGATGATTGCATGTTTTCCAAATGCATTCTAATCTGCTTTCCCATCTTGGAAATTTGAATTTTGTTTGCTGACAGACTCCTGACATGAAGACTAATTTCAGGGGCTGGAGTGTGGAAACTTTGGATATTACACAGGCAGATAGGGAGGAGAGTGGAAAGCTCTTTAAATGGTGAAGAGAAGCACAGGAAAGCAAATAAGTGTGAGAGAACGACCTGAAGAGAACGGACTAGAAAAAGAAGGTGTCTGAGTCCTTGAGAAGAGACCAGCGTCTTTATCCCCGATGACTCAGTACAGTACAGATAGAAGGCAATAATACACATTCCAATGGAAAACTCAGGCACCCTGAGGAGAACCCATGTGTGGTGTCCTCCAATGGTTGCCTACTCAACACTACCCACCGGCCCCACACATTTATTTCTTACTGGCTTCCCATGGTGGGGGTAGGAAATCCCTCATACTAACTCTCCCAGCTTCCCTTGCAGCTAGGGTTTGTGTATGTGACCCAATCCTGACTAATAGAGCCTGACAGGAAGTCTTCTGGGAAGATGAAGGTTGATTCCTGCATCTCTTAAATATAGTCCCATCAGTGTGGGTTTTTTTTTTTTTAAATCTTATATCTGTCAGTACAAAACACTCGTCTTATCTCTTCCTGCTCTGGGGTTCAGTCATTTCTCCAAGAATTCCTGACTCATTTTATTGAAGAATGCCATCAGAAACCAAGGTATGGTTGTTAGCTATGATCATTGTTGTTGAGGAGGTCCCTATTTTTAAACCACTTTAAATCAGACATTTGGTTACTTGTGGCTAAGAACTTTGTAACTGATTTTTCAGAAATATCTAAGCAAGTGTTGTGAACAATATGTCTCAGGAGTAGAACAAGAGAAGCTGATTAAATGTCTTTGTAGATGGCCCAAGGTAATACCATCAACTGTCTTTTGCCTCATTACTGGTATATGTGGGATCCAGAAGGGCTCCCTAGCCCTTTGGAATAATTGGGGGCAAATGGGTGGTTGAGAGACACCTTAGCAGGAGCCTCATGCAGAGAGAGGTGAAGGGATCTGGTACCTAAGGCATCCAGTATGGACTACTCAAACAGAGATGGAGCAGGAGTCCTCACCAGACCTCAGGGCACCTGAAGCAACTGCCAGTGCTGAAGTGGGAGAGCTGTCAGCAGGAGAATATGTTGAACTTTTCTGAAAGCAATTGCTATGCATCTCTTGGGCAGAACCTCAACAATTACTGATGCCCAAAGGTGTGAACATTTTTCTCTAACACCTTGGCATACTGAATCCTATCATGTTCCAGTTCACTCAAATCTCTTTTGAGTTTATTTGTAGATATTCTGTGAGGAGAAATCTCAATGGACTTGTGGAACAAATAATCCAGTTCAGGATTACATAAAGCAATTAGGGACAGGTGGGGCAATGGGGTGGATCTGAAGAGCTAGGCCCCATGATTTATGACCTTGAACACAAAAGCCACTAGGTACCTCCATCAGTCTCCAACCTAGAATTCAGCACCAGAAAACTCTGGACAGCTCCCCAGGGTTCCCCTAAGAGAGGATTTCTTTGGGCCTTAAATTAAGGCTGATGATATTCCAGGTCAGACCTTCTCCATAAACTCAACCTTTTCTTCCAACTGATGCTGTCACACCCTAACATTAACAACTAAAGAAAAATTATTCTCTTGTCTGTCTCCTACCTCATATGACCAGTATTCTCCATTGCATCAAAGTTAGTATAATGTTGGTATGAGCTTGGGTTCAAGAATCAGAGCACCTGTATTCAAATAAAAACTCTGACCTCCTGGTGATGTGTCCCTGGACAAGTTTCCTTTTTTGACCACTCTGAGCCATTGTTTGATGGATTCATTTAACAAATATTTACTGAGTTCCTCCTACATATAAGCCATTGGTCTGGGAATTGTGTACACATTTGTGATTCTTATGTAACCTGGATTCTCTTTGGAAGACATATAATGTAAACATACTTCAAAGAAATCCATAAAATAAGTCCATACTTAGAAGTCCTATAAAGAAAATCAAACAAGACATTATGATCCAGAGTAATTCAGGAGAGGGACTTTTACTAAGCAGCTTGGGGATGGCATCTCTAAGAAGACAAGATTTGAATGGCAATTTGAAGGGATGAGATAGAACCAGCAGAAGAACAGAGTTCCTGATACAGGGAACAACAGCTACAAAGGCAAAGAGACCGAGACAAAAAAGAGCTTCTCCTGTGTTTCCTAATGCTGCCACAACAAATTAATATAAACCAAATGGTTTAAACAATAGAAGTTTATTCTACAGTCCTGGAGTCTGCATACTCTAATCAAGGACCATGCTCCCTGTGAAGACTAGAGAAGAATCCTTTCTTTCCTTTTCCTAATTTCTGGTGTTTGCTGGCAATCTTTGGTGTTTCTTTGGTGTATTCCTCCAGTCTCTGCCTCTGTTTTAATTCAGCCTTCCCTGTGAATGTCTCTTCTGTGTCTCTGTATCTGAATCCCTCTCTCTCCTTCTTATAAAGACACCAGTCATTGGATTTAGACCCACTCTAACTCAGTATAACTTCATCTTAACTAATTGATGTCCACCTGCAAAGACCTTATTTCCAACTAAGTCCATTCTGAAGTTTGGGGGGACACTGGTCAACCCAGGATGCCATGTAAGTTATGTGCCAACATGGGAACTAGGACTGAAGCATCATGATCAGGAGGAAGAGGGAGGGAAGAGCTACAGCATGCAGGGTCTCTAGGGCTTCTGTTCAAGAGTTGAGGTTCATTTTAGGTACAAAAAGATGACATTGAAGGGCAGGAGAGAGGCTTGAATTGGTACTGTATGGAGAATGGAGTATAGAGTGAGGATCCAGAATGTGTTCAAGAGATGCACTGGTAAAGAATTTCAGTTGTCCAAACAAGAAGTTATGAGTGAAATGAGCATGGTGGTTAAAAGTGGATTAATTTTAGATGAGGATCTTCTAAAGTGTTGGATGTCAATGAAGAGAGAGACGGAGAAATAACCATTCCCAGGTGAATGACAGGGCAGACTAAAGATGGATGCTTAGGTATGGGAAAATAAGGAGTTCCACTTCAGACATACTTAATTCATTGCCAGGTTCTGCCATTTACCGCTGCCAACTGAACAGCTCAATGAGACCTCAGAGAGAGGGCTGGCAGAAGCCCAAGTAGCTACTTACCATTAATATGGGTTAAAGTTGCTCTGAATCACACTTCAGGAGGATGGCACATCTTAGGAGGGAAGACGGCACCCTGAGCATCACTAGCACCTGCTATTTTGGGAAGAGTTGAGTGCGGATGGGTGGAAATAGGGAGCACAGCATTCAGAATCTGGGGTTCTGCTTTCTGCTGTGTGACACTGGTGGTCACTCCTCTCTGGACATCAATATCCTCATCTATAAGATAAGAACAAGAACACGTGCCCAGCCAGAGCTATGGGGAAAAGACAGCAAATGTAATTTGTCTGAAGTAGAGTAAAGGCTTCTTTACTGTTATTACTGAAGATCCCAGCGGATAGTGTACTGCCCAGTGTGTGGGGGAAAAATGGGCCTCCACAGCCAGGCCACTGCATTCAATCCCTAGCGCACACTTCTCTCTTCCTTACTACCTTTGTATCCTTGAGCCAATTATTTAACTGGTCTGGACCTTGGTTTCTTTGTCCATAAAATGGGGATGCCAATAATATCCTCCTGTAAGGGTGCTGTGTATATAAAATAAATTAATATGTGTAAAGGATGGAGAGCATCGCCAGACAATAACAGTTTCTTCACATACACTAGCCACCATTTTTATAAAGACTAACAATGAAAAGCAAGACATGGTAGTTAGTACCTGTAATCCCAGCATTCAGGAGGTGGAGGCAGGAGGATGGTGAATTCTGGGCCAGCCTGGGCTGCATAATGAGACTGTGTGTGTGTGTGTGTGTGTGTGTGTGTGTGTGTGTGTGTGACAGACAGAGAGAGAGAAGAAGAAGAAGGAGGCGGAGGAGGGGAGAGGGAAGGAAGGAAGGAAGGAAGAAAGGAAGATAGATTGAGGATGTCCTGAACTCTGGTTAGTGCTCCCCAAAATACTCCCTTACTAAGTTCCCTCTCATTCACTTCTTGTTCATATATAGGACCTGCAGGTGGTGTACAGAACCATTAAGGTGTGGGGAGAAAGTGATACATATTAATAACTGCAGTCACCAATGTATTCACCCCTTGTAATCAGTTCTACACATCTTACATGGATTTTATTCAGGTCATCCTGGAAGCCTCCTCAGAAGGGACATGAGTTCTATCATAATTCCCATGTCACACAAGAATTTTTTGTTTTGTTTTGTGAGACTGAATCTCACTATGCAACCCAGATTGGCCTTGAACTCATGATTTTCCTGTCCCAATTCCCCAAGTGCTGGGATTACAGGTGTGTGCCATTATGTTCAGCAAGAAGTTGGGGTTTGTGGGGGGGGGGTGGGGTTTGAACTCAGGGCCTTCACCTTGAACCACTGCACCAGCCCTTTTTTTGTGATGGTTTTTCTTAACAGAGGGTCTTGTGAACTATTTGCCTGTGCTGGCTTTGAACTGCTGGCTTTGAATCCTCCTGATCTCTGCCTCCAGAGTAACTGGGATTACAGGTGTGAGCCACGGATGCCTGGCCAGCAAGAAGTAATTTTATAGAGCACAATTGCTGGATTAGCAACAGCAAACAATTTTTCAGCACCTTCTATGTTTGGATAGAGAGCCAGGCTCCACGAAGGCACCGCCATTCCTTTATGCAGCTTGGTGTGGTCCTGCCTTCCAGACCACACCTCCCCTAGTGCAGAAAAGCACTCACTCCTTCTTTGCTTCGTTGAGCTATCATTATGCAGAGCACAGAGCTACACCCATTCCTTTGACCCAGCTCCGGTTCCCCCGAATTCCCAGCGTCCTGCGCGAAAATAAGACGCTGCACCGACTGGAGAAACCAGTTCAGCCCGGCCCGGGAGAAAGCGAGGAGACCCCAGCTCTCGGCACTGAGAGCGTCCTTTGCAGCCCGGGGTTATTTCTCAACTCATCGCTGCCTTAAGGCGCAGCGCAGGCAGGGGCGCATGGAGAACCCCACCCGGACCCCTGAACGCGCGAACGCGTCTGACCTGGGCACCATGCCGCGGCCTCCGCTGACTGTGACGCTGACCCTGGTGCCCCTTGTGTGCGTCGTGAGCAACACCATGGTGGTCCTGGTGGTGGTCCGGAGCCGCCACGTGGTCACACCTACCAACTGTTATCTGGTGAGCCTGGCAGCTGCAGACCTACTCGTACTTCTGGCAGCCGCAGTGCCCACTGTGACTGAGGCGACGTCTGCCCGAGTTTGGATCTTCGGCCACGCAGGCTGCCTGGGCATCACCTACCTGCAGTACCTGGGCATCAACACCTCCACCGGCTCCATCACGCATTCACTGTGGAGCGCTACCTCGCCATCTGCCACCCTCTGTGCGCCCAGGCGTTGTGCACCTTGGCGTGCGCCAAGCGCATCGCGGCAATGGTGTGGCTGGGCACTGGCGCCTATTGCAGGCTCTGGCTCTTCTTGGTGGACACGCGCGAGGCAATGTGCGACTACCGGTGTCACGATCTCTCTACCTGCCAGTGTACTTCCTGGACTTCGCGCTCTTCTACGCGCTGCCCCCCCCCGGGCTTGGCCACTGTGCTCTACGCACTCATTGCGCGTGTCCTCTTCCTCAGGCCGCTCCCTCCTAGTTGCTCCAGCTCTGTGAACCAGGGCGATCATGCCCGCCAAGCAAGCTTCTCCAAGAGCAGGAAGGGTACCCTCAGTTCCAGGAAGCAGGTAGGATCTCCATCCTCACCTGGACCCAGCTGAGTGGTGGGTGCATGCAGGGCTCTTCTGGAGTCAGATGTCTCAAAGTTCAAATTTCTGTTGTTCCGCTTAGTAAGCTTGTATGTTTGCAGGCATGGCCTCTACCTTCCTGCACCTCAGTTTCCACTGTTATGTTGTCAGAGCCTATGGCATTGGAGTGTCCAGAGAAATGAGCTAACACATCTGAAGTCTTAAGGATGTCACAAATAAACGCTCAATTAATGCTGGTTACTATTATTAAATTTCCATGCCTAGTGAACCTAGGCAGCTATTATTCTCTTTCTTCTACTAATAGGGGAACTGAAGCTCAAAGAGGTGAAGTGATTTTCCCAAGTACTTTACTCCATCTGGCACTAAAGCTCTCTCAGTGGACCTGGACAGGCTAACAGGGAGGGGTCTGAGTGAGGTGGGGAGAGAACCAGCATTTAGTGAGCACTTACTGTGTGTTAGATTCTGTGATTGTGCCCATTGTTATCCTTGAAGAAAGATTTAATATCTATTTGTATAGACAAGGAGATAGGCTCCTAGGGGATGAGGAGTGATGACCGTGACACAACAAGGTGACTGGGTAGGAAATTCACCACTGTCAGGACTGCTTAGGTGTTGTTCCCCGCCCCCCATTCCAGCAGTCTGGCTGCTCCAGGTTTTCAGCACTGTGGGTGGAAGGACAGTTCTCTGGGCTCAACTGGTCTTTATCCTCAAGCCTCCTGCCTCACTGCAGCTTCTGGGGAAGGGGCTGGACACCTTGCAGAGCTGGTGAGAAACCTCCATGCTGCCTCCCTGTCGGCCTACTATGGGGGCTCCTTCCAGCTGCTCCCAACAGCCCCTCCTGCTCATTCTGCTTTCAGGCACCTCTGCTCAGCCAGGTTTACCAGGATGGGGTGGGACGCAGGCTGACCAGATTTGAAATATTAATCTTAGGCTGTTGGTCCATTGCCACCATACACCCAGAACAAATGCCCCTTTCTCCCTCCCTCTCGCCTGTTGGCTACTCTGCTTACCTCAGCTCAGCCTGGCGGGGCCTGTGCTTTAGAGGAGAAACTACTGCTGGTAAAAAGAGGATTCCAGAGCTGGGTTCTAGGCCTAGCTTTGCTGTGTGACTTTAGGTAAGTCGCTTCATCAATCTGAGCTTTGTTTTCCTCCTCTGTAAAATGGATAATAGTGAAACTTATGACTGGTCCATAGTAAGGGCTCAATATATGGTACCTATTATTGTCTTTTTTAATAAGAGGGCTATGTGTGAATTGAGCCTTCTTTGATGCCTAAGAGAGCCCTCTAACATGCAGTGCACAGTTGCAACAGAGAAGAGGCATTAAATAAAACCAGAACATTAAAAAATTCAGAGTAGACAAGAAGAACAGCATTTTATATTTTCTGGGTATTTGCTAAGAGCCAGGCACTGGCCTAAGCGCTTAACTCAAGTTAGTATGTTGCATTTTTACATGACAATGTGTGCACTGTTATCATCCTGGTTTGACAGATGGGAAAGTGAGGTTACAGAGTTGGTAAGTGCCAGAGCCTAGATTTGAACCCTGGCAACCTGGTTCCAGAGCCCATACACTGCTCTTCAGTATTCACCAAACAAGACTTAAATGCAAGGAACTGAATCTGAATTTGGCAAAATGTGGAGTTATGACTAATAGGAAATTCCTGGGATTTCACGGTTTCTGGATGGTGTGTCAGTGCTGAAGTTCATTGACTTAGTTGGGGTTCCCTGATGCCCTCCCCAGTGTTAGAGATGTCTCCCAGATCCTCTTGACAGAGACCTGCTTTCTGGCACTTTCATTTTGAAATTTAGAAAACATGCTTTTGATGCGTGCCACCTCTGGGAGGGTTTATGTTGTCTGGGGCTGTATGGCTCTGATGGCTGAGATCTGCAGAGTCGGGAGGCAGGGCATACAGGAAGCCCAGGTGGAATTAGCAGAAGGCTTAGGAGAGAAGAGGCAGGATTAAGGAGAGTGCAGAAGTGAGCTTGTTGCTGGGAATGTTGGGGGAAAGGGACTGTTGGGTGGAGGGGTGGGGGCGTGCCAAGGACTGGCAGCTGGCTACTGCTAAAGCCCATGCAACTGTAGTAGAAGTAGCAGTAGAAGTGACAGTGGCAGCAGCTATCACCCCTGTGGTCCTTAGGACCTGCCTGCCTCTGTTCTGAGTGCTTTACCTGCACTGACTCTCCTAATCCTTACACCACCTGCACAGAAGGCAGTGCTATGTCTCCATCTAACAGGGGAAGAGTGTGTTAGTGAACTTGCTTCTAGGAAGTGAAAGGCCATCCAAGGCTTTGGGGGTGGATTGGAGCTGAGGAGGTTTCCCTGTGATAAATAACCTGAACAGGGCATGGAAGGATGCATAGGAGTTTTCTAGGTGGAGACAGAGTTGGAGGGAGGGTTTGCATGAGTCACAGCTTGACAAAGGTCAGATGCTCCATTGGCAAGCTCACAGAGAAGTCTGGAGCTCAGGGTTCTGCCCTGACACCCACGTATTCTTCTTTTCCCATCTTTCCTGGCAGGTCACCAAGATGCTGGCTGTGGTGGTGATCCTTTTTGCTCTGCTGTGGCTGCCCTACCTCACCCTGGTGGTGGTGAATTCCTTCCTGAGCCCACCCTACCTCAACCTCAGCTTCTTTCTCTTCTGCCACCTTTGCATCTACCTGAACAGTGCTGTCAACCCCATCGTCTACACCCTCATGTCTCAGTGCTTCCGCGAGGCTTTCCATGGGTTGTGTCAGTGCAGGCTGGCCAAGCCCAAGCTTCCACCCCAGGAGGACACCCTCGTTTACTGCAGTGTCCCCAGAGATTGTTCCCAGCATGGGCTGGGCTCCTAGAAGGAACCTGGGAGCATGCAGTCCAGTTGGAGAGGGGATCCTGGCACCCCAGGGGAAGGCCCACCACCATACCCCTCCTGAAACAAAAGGGTCTCTGTGCTCTTGGGGAGAGCACAGCTGGAGGAGGGAGTGGTGTCTGCATCTGGTTGATAGAGGTGCAGATATGGTGCACTGCATAAGCCTAGGGGTCGCTATTCTTACATAAAGCCTAGATTGCATATTTAGCAAAGAGGTTTCCCAGCTCAATAAATATATAAATCCAAGAGAGTGACAACTTTTTATTATTTACACAAAAGCACTAGGTGGCTTAATAGAAGCCTGGGTGGGATTTGAGTAAGATCTTCAATTTGCAGAAATTGAGAAGGTAGGAGGACTTGTCAGAGATCTCTGGGAATCTATAGATCCTCTTCCTGGGAAACTCAGGAGCTTCTGTTTGCCAGGGTAAATACCAAGTGCTACCTCTCCCTGGATGGTGACAAGTGCTGCCTCTAACAGCTGGCTGGGGATCCGGTGCTGGCAATAGAAACTTCTCTAGCAGCCACTATGGAGGTGCAAATTGCAGTAGGACGCTGTGGGCCACTCTTCCTGCCCAGGGCGTGGAGGGAAAAGCCAGAAACATGACTTGGTTGGAGAACACATCCTTCAAAAATGTCATCTTTAAAAACATTGAAAGCTACTATCCAGAGGTGACTTCTTAGACAATGGTGAAAAACCACATTATTAGTCAGGATAGGCCAGGTTTTGGTGCAATAACAAATGAGGCCCAAGCAGTAGCAAATCAGCACACAAAACTGTATCACTTGCTCCCACAACATCAATGGAAGAGAGAGTGTAGCTTCTTCCATTATGTGACCCCGCACAAGCCAGGGCACTTCAGTCTTATGGAACCAACTTCTCAATACTTGATTCCTTGGTCCCCAAAGTAAAGGAAGAGAGTCTGAACAGGTCTCAAACTGGTGGCTGAATGCTTCAGCCAGTAAGTGACACCTGTCACTTCAGCTAATTGTTGAGCAACAGGGCATCTTGGGAATCCCAAAAGATAGCAGGAACTGGATTTGGGTGGGATTTGAGTACTAGCATTGTCTTCCACTCAGTGTGCATGAAACCAGAGAACAAGTTACCTCTTCTGTCTGTTTGCCCCCAGTAGTAGGGCAGCAGACCCATGACTACTTGCCCAATGGTAGCATCTGGCTGGACTCCTAGGTGAACAACCCACAGTGGGAATCATCCCTTTCTTCAAGCTGCCAGACACTTCAGAAACCACCACATGTCAAAGGATGTGGAAAATCCCCAAGGTCATTTGAAGGTGTCCAGCTGAGCTGAGTGCTAAATCTCTGCCCAAGTGTGGGGTGGAGGGGGCTGAGTTTGAGATCATTTACTTTGAAGACTGTGTTATTTCCCACCCCACTTCATCCCTGTGGGTCCCCAGATGTGTCAGGAGCAGACTTGAGGCCTAAAGCCAATCAAGATGAAGACAGACAGGAGCAGCCAGGGCCGTGTGAGGTCCAGGCTGGCCTAGGCAAAAAACTCGAGACTGCCTGAAAAATAACTATAGCAAAAAGGGATGAGGACATGGCTCAAGTGGTAGAGTGCTTGCCTAATAAGCATGAGGTCCTGAGTTCAAACCCCAGAACTGCCAAAAAATAAAAATTAAAAACAAAAACAACAAAAAAGACAGCCAGGGCCCAAGGGTCCAGAATGGACCAGCAAGTGTGAATATGAAATATCTTTCACATCCTGTCAGTGTGAAAACAATTTTCAATCTGCCCTTCTCAAGAGATGCTTCTGGGCGCACACCTGTAATATCAAGAGTTTAAGGCCAGCCTGGGCTACACTGTTCTCTCTTTTGAGGAGCAACCCTAGAGGAAGAGTTTCACGTGCTCAGCTCCAGCAAGCCTGGGACCAGTGGGGAGAAGGGCTGAGCTCACTCTGGGAGCCTGCAGGAACCACCTGCTCTTCTGATTACTTCTGTCTTCCCCACTTCCACTTCGTGATGACCCCTCTCCTGAGCACAGAGCTCAGGTGCTCTGAGCATCTGCACCTGTCCTCCTCTTCCTCTGCTAGACTGGGAGCTCCTGAGAGCAGGGACCTTCATGGAGTCACCTTTTTAGTGCTTGCCATGGCCAGCAGGCTGCTCTGCATGTAGCACGTCCTCGGTAAAGTCATGAAGATGGCAGCCATCTGTCTGCTTACCACAGCAAAGAGGCAGTGCTGTGGAAATGTCCAAAACCAGTGGGAGTGCAGGCCAACCAGGAGCACTCAGCAAGACCCCCCGCCCCCAGTTTCCCAGGCCTTATTTCCCATCAAATAAAGTCTGAGGATGCATCTCAGTGGTAGAGTGCTTGCCTGGTGTATGTAAGGCCGTGGGGTTCAATCCACAGCACCACAAGTAACCAAAAAGGTGAATAAAGTCTAGGGAAGACTTCTGACTGCTGGGAAGACCTACCCAGGCAGTGGGGGAGGGGCAAGGTACCACTCGCTGTGGTGGGAGTGCAGACCCAGAATGGCCTGCTCCTTTCTTTTCTACAGAAGCCAGGAAATGGATTTTGTTGTACAATTTTTCTTTAAAATGTTGACTCTTAAAAACAAGAAAAAAATTCAAAGTAAATAAATAGTTTGCGTCTGCCGGTCTGTGATGTGTGAGGTCTGGCATTAAGATGCCCAAACCTGCAACTAGATGAGTGGGTCACACCTCCCCTTATGGCCTGGATAGGAGGGGCAAATGTTCATGGGCAGGGTGGGATTCTGAACAAGACTCTGAAAGGAAAACGTGGGTCGGGTTCACTCATCCAATCCACTCATTCAGCTCACATTCACTGAGCACCTACTATGTGCTGGGCGTGCTTCTGGATACAGGGAGCAACCACTCTCTTTTCCCCCTCTCTTTGTCTAGGGGATGGGGTGCAGCCATCAGCACAGGTTCACTGAGTCCAGCCAGCCCCACATTGCCTCGCCCTCCTCTCTTTAGATCTGTTTGTCTTAATGGCTTCAACCCTAGCAAATGTGCCCAGCTCTCAGAGGAGTGTCATAAGCAATTCACAAGGTCACATGGCCCTGGCTGCAGCTCCAGCCCAGATGAGACAGATGGCATTAGGGCTTCTGTTCTCTTCCACCAGCCTCTCTCCCCTTACACAAAGGCATTTGCTTTCAGCCTGGTGCAGGTGGGACCTGGAGCCACCTGCCTGGTCTAGCTTGAAGCGAGTCCCCTGGCTCAACTTGGCAGTGTGGAGAAAGGAACTTGAGAAGCTCCCCACTTCCCAGCATCTTCCCAGGCTCATTCTCCATAAGTGAATTCACAGTCGCACTAATTCATGACCTGTGCTTTTTCTGAAGCAGTGAGCATCGCCTTGTCCAGACAGACACTTTGCCAGTGGAGAAGCAAGTAACTAAGCTCTGATCTTCAGGGAGATGATGTTCTTCCCCTAAAAAGAGGGATTTGGGGACCAAAAGACCCAGCACAAGATGGAAGCATTGATAGGTGTGAAGATGGGGCAGAAAGGAAAACTAGGAAGGGGCAGGGAGGAGGTTGTCTTGGTGACCCTGATTGCTGTGTGACTTGGGCAAAGCACTGTGAGTCAAGGTGGGTCCCTTTGGGGTCTTCACTTACCATTCTTTAGAGCTCAGGAAAAATTCAGAGATGTCTCTCAGAATGGATTACGGTAAGAGGATGTATCATGAAAATAGCACACTTCAAATTGAGGGTCAGAAAGAGGAAAATGCATGGGTCCCTTTCCTACCAACTTCCCACAGAGAGGAGAGAGGGGCCTGGTGCCCCGCTGGCTCACAATGGAGGGCTGGGTCCCCATGGAGGGGCCCCATCTTCTTTGTTCTCCCTTCTTTTGGGGGTATACAACAGCAACTGCATTGGTGAAGGCACCAGGCTGAATGGATGGGGGATGTCCATGGTCACAGGAATTAGGAGCTCCCATCACAGCTGGGAATGCTGAGCCCATAGGGAGGCCCAGCCCCTCTGCTGGGGGAAGAGAACCCTGCTAAGGGGGATCACTTTCCCTGAGTGTCTTGGTCTGTCCCTGCTGCTGTAACAAAATAGACTAGGGCTTAAACAACTAAAATGTATGCCTTGTAGGTCTGGAGGGTGGGAGTCAGTGTGGTCAGGTCTGCTTGAGTACTGGTTTCAGGCTGACAACTTCTTGCTGCACTCTTACGTGATCAGGATGGTAGAAAGAGGGCAAGAGAGCTCCCAGGGCCCCTCTTACATGGACACTACCCCACTCATAAGACCCCATGAACTTCCAAAGGCCTCACCTCCTAATACTATTGGGAGTTAGGATTTCAGTATATGAATTTGGGGTGCACAAACCTTCAGTCTGTTGCTGGACTCCATGTCCAGGCAGCCCCAGGAGAACCAGCAGAAACACTAAATTGTTCTTTGTGCGCCATTTGTAAAATGTGACAGGTGCATTCAACAGCTGTATTCAAGAACTAGCCTTAGACATTTTATTTTCACCATTCATTCATTCACTCCTTCATTTTGGTTACTGACTCCTAAACATTCCTTTACATAGGCAAACCATCACTGTGTAAGTCTTGCTAGCAGGCAGGTGTCTTCTCACTAAGGAAACTTGAAGAGCCAGCTACTCCCTCTCTCTGCCCCTGGCACCTGAGCATGGACCATGTGACTGGACTCAGTCAGGTGCCTCTGCCCAGGACCTGACTCTTCAACAGCTGTTGCACACACAAGGAAAATTCTATTTATGCTGGTGACAGCAGCAGTGGTGCCTGTCACACAGTGACCATGGAGGCAGTGGCAGCTGCATGGCACCACTCTCCAGGGGCAGCAGTGGAGCTGGCATCCTCCTCAGATGGCCCCAGGGCTGAGTCCTGCCACCTAGCCTGTCTTGATTTCTACCTGCAATTTAACATGGTTCTGGGAACTTCCTAATTAGGTGCCTAGATTTCATAATACCCTTGTTCAAAAGTCCTCTTTTCTTCTTGTGTAAGCAGAGTTAGGGTCCATTGATTGCAACAACAATCCCTGG